ATCATATCTGAGAGTAATTTCAGAATGCCAAAAGAGCTCTGAGACTGAGCTTTACTTTTAGTTGATTAAAATGCTGTTGAAAATATAATTTACTCAGGTATCAGTTAGCCTATAAATAAATTATATACAAATATTTAACTGGATTTTTTTCTAAAATTTTATAATATTCTCAAGTGACTTTTTAAGAGAACACTATTTATCTAAGCACTGTGTCTCAGTTTAGTCTGTATGTACATGTTTGAAGATATGGATATCTGGAATTCATTTCTGGTTCTTTTATGAGCTAACAATCTGCTGTTATAGGAAAGAAAATCTTTCTGAGCCTTGTTCCTCAAATAAAGGGCTTGGAATGTAAGATGAGATTTGTAAGTTCTGTTATGTTACCAATCATTTGAAAATCTTAAACTGTTAAAAATATTTATAATTATAGACTTCAATAATTGCCATTTCAATTTTTAAGAAGCTGAGAAATTTTGTCATTTTAGTGTTACAAGCATAGTTTGATATGGACCTCAATATTATTTGAAATTTTTTTATTTGAAAAAATGTTTAATGTAGATTAGTCATATGGAAAAATCCTCATGAAAACAAACATATCAAATCACACTTCTATAAAATATGTCATAATCCTTTACAAGTAACTTATTTAATAAATTGTAATTTTGAAAAAGAGAAGGAAAATGTGAGATCCCCTATGAAATGTTCCTAATTACCTAACACGTCTTATATTAATGATTCTAAAAATATTTTCCACTCACTTGATTCTTGACATCATTAAACTGAGAATTTGAATATAAATCTTTTAATACAAAATTATAGTTTTAATATCAAAGTTTAATAGGAGCTAATAAACAAAGGAATGCTTATCTAAGGAAATATTTTAAATATTTAAAAAATGTACTAACGGTTGGGTCTCCCCCTCTCTAGTGCCCCTGTTATAGCCCCTCTTCTATCTAAAAGTAATTTATAGCAAAATAAAATTAAATCAAAGAAATCTTAATATTTTAATTTCAATATTACTTTCACATTTTTACTGTGTATCATGAGTCTTCAGTAGTTCAACGTCTCTTTGAATTAAGCTGAAATAATGTTGACTTTTAAATCTTCATCTTCCAATAGTTTGCTTAGCCTTATGTATTAAACATAAATGGTATTAAAATGTAAAGAACTATAAAATTATTTTTGCAAAACTATAGCAAGACAAATTGTAGCAAGAGAAAAGCCTGTGATCTTACTACACAGACTTCCATAAAAGTCAGGAAGTAGGGAAGAAAAGAAAAAAGTGTTTAGAGAAGTAAGAGAAGATAAGAGAAAGCATTGGGTTTCCATGAGCTAAAGGAGGACAATGTATGAACGAAATTTGTACAGTGGATCTACATACAGCATAGTTCTTGTAGTGCATGGAAATGTACACAAAGCGTATTACTTTAGCACAATGTGTATGTATGGTACACTTAAAAATGACTAAGTGGTAAATTTGATGTCATATATTTTTTCATAATTAAAAATGTTATGGAGCAGTTAGAAACAACAGCATGAATTCTTTCTGCATTGCATAGTTTCTTTTCCTGAACCCAAACTCAGATTAGAATTACAAATGATAGGAAAATATGCACTTTCTTTAAAAAGTCAATATGATTTGCATGTGTTCCCTCTTCAACTGTGCTAAAATGTGCTCAAATTTAAACATGATTTAGGAAGGTAGTGAACATCATTGCTGGCTGTTCATCTTCTAAGTCCACACAAAGGGACTAATTGAGACAATTTGATCAGTATTTGATTTGCATTTTTCAGACAATTGCTTAAATTTTCCTGGGTGCTTTTGATGTAGGACATTGAATGCTTGTAACATGAATTGCTGGAATTTGGAACTTTAACAGGAAGCACTGTTTATAATATATTACCTTAGCTGACCACATGGGAATTTTAAAATCTGGAATAAAAATCTTCATTTTTTAAAAGCATATTTGTAAATATGTTCTAAGAAATGAGTGGTTCAGAGGCTGGAGTCTCTATTAAGAATGTGGTCTGATTCTTTTTTTGTTCTTTCAAAAGTAGTTATAAAAGGCTGAGGCTGTAGCTCAGTGGAAAAGTGTTTGCCTCGCATGCATGAGTTCCATGGTCACCACCAAATAAAAATATATAAAGATGCTGTGTGTTCATCTACAACTAAAAAATGTTTTTTAAAAAGTAGGTATAAAATACAAATCAACAAATATCTCACTCTAATGAGTGGTGATTACTGACATAACAGTATCAGACTCTATGAACTATGTAGGTGTGCACCTTTGGCTAAGTTTGCTCAAACGATAGTTCTTGAAGAGATATGGTTATGAAATCATCTCATTAACTTTAAAAAAAATTATTTTTTCTTTTAGTTTTTTAGTTATACATGGCAGTAGAATCTATTTGATATATTTATACAAGCATGTAATGAATATATCTTATTCGAATTAGGAATCCAGGCTTGTGGATATAAATGATGTTGAGATTCACTGTGGTGTATTCATATATGTACATAGAGCTCATTAAAAATAAGTGAACAGTAAACTAACAACTAGGAGACAAATGAATTAACTTATTAGGAAAAAATATTGTAACTTACAAAAATTCTTACTTATGAAAGAAAGCTACTTTTAACCTGATGCATCATTAGCAATGTTCATTGTAAGGTCTTGGATAATTTGTAGATTTTTATTATTCTAAAATTATATCATAAAATCAATCTAAAAAACATGTCATGCATGTTACAGTATCTGTAAAGTTCTTTCATTAAAACTTGAGTGGTTTATCTTAATAGAACTTGTAGTTCTAGATGAAGTAACAATGCCAGATCTTGTATATTTTTAAATAGTTCAAAACTGGGAAGATAGAAATCAAGAAACTCAGTCAAAACACTATAGCTAGATACATTTTTCTGTATTACATTGCAAAATCTGTTAATTCCTAGAAATAATATATTTGTACTTTGAGAAATATTCTTAAAATTAACTAAAATCTTTTATGAATAAAACAAAATTTCATTGCTAATATTTGGATTTTCTCAAAGGATATTCACATTACAAAGCATTATTTTAATTGACATGTTAATGGATGATTTGAATAGATAATTATGTAATTTCATTTTGAATTCTTCTTTATCAGTTTATGATATTGTTCCAAAACATTTCAACATCATGATTTTATGGGTGTTCATATTACAGAGAAACTTTGGAATTTAATAAGATTGCATGCAATTTAATCTAACTCATATACTGTAGCATCTTGCAATTGGTGGAGAATAGGAAGGCAGAATATAGGAAAAATAATATAAACAATTTCTACTGGAGGCAAAGATCTGGAAAAAGCAAAACTGTCATTTTCCTAATTAAATCCCCAAATATTCAACAGCAGACATTTATCAAGAACCTAGTACATGAAATATATTGTGCCAATCATTGTAAAGGCCTTAAGGGT